ACTCTTGGAGATGCGGTGGATCTGCGCCACAGAGAAGGATGTCTGGTGGCGGGGAGACGGCGGCAGAAGAGGAAAACAGGTTGCACGGTCCGGCGGCAACTGCTGAGATAACTTATCGCACTCACTTGCACACGCTCGCTCACACACTCAAGGTCTATACTAGCACACTCACACTCTCACACTTACACTCACACACACACTCACACTCACACTCACACTCACACACACTGACACACACACTGACACACACTCACACACACAATGACACACACACACAACACACACACACACACACACACACACACACACACACACACACACACACACACACACACACATGATAATCTGGTGTCGTTAGGTGTAGGTGCGAGAGATAACAAAGGCATGGCAGCTGGATTCCCCGCGGATGATTGCATTGCCTGGCGCTCGTTTCCCTCCTCTTTCAAGCCCTGTGTGGCTGTCCCTCTGCGGGTTTTATCGTTTATTGAATAGTGTCTTTGAAAGGAAGTGGACTAATGGTTTCCTTGTTCTGGGAGGAGGGTCGATGTGGGGCTTATGATTGTTTAACTCGCTGTGCGTCATTTCCTCTTGTCTCTGTGTCTTTTCAAGCTTTCCTCGGTGTTAGTGAACCGAGAGAAGTTTGCAACCAACAATTGTTAGACTTCGTTAGATTTCGTTGGACCTTGGAGTTTAGAGTTCGAATGCCATTTTTCCTTTCATTTGTTTGGTTTTCGCAGATCAAAGGAAAATAAGTAATTCTTTTACGTGTGCCAGCCCCTGTGTTTTATAGAGACTAACAACTTGGCTATTCCCATCCGCATACGCAAATTACGGTCGTTAAACTTCTCTTGAAAACTAACCACGCAGCGTTGCCTTGGAATCTGTTGTTACCTAGTAACAGCAGTTGCTAGTGTTTAACAATTAGGTTATGCAGCGGGAGCACGCGTGCTTCGCATTCTTATGAGGAGTGTCTGGAGCGTCCTGCATGAGTACGCATAATGCTGGGCGGGGGCTATGGAATCCGACACGTCTGGGCGGCCCTCGTGGAACGGGGTTTGTTGGCGGTTTTGATTGACGTAAATCTGTCGCCAACTTCGTCTGGTGGCGCTGTTGGAAATCTGGAATGTTCAGTTGCACAGCTCTCTCGGTTCACTTTCTTTCGATGTTCATGCGCTTTATCTGTAATAAGCACGTTATCACAACGGTTACCATTATTAATCTCATCATGTGTATCAGACGCTCCAACTTTATCTGATAGGATGTGTGATATCAGAGAAAACGGAAGGAAAAGAGAGGGAGAGAGAAATTTTATATATATATATATATATATATATATATATATATATACATACATATATGTTATATATATACACATATGTTATATATATACATATATATATATGGTAGAAAAACCCACAATGTAAAAACTAGTTTTTACATTGTGGGTTTTTCTACCATAGTGTCAACACTGTAGAGAGTTTTCCTCATTCATATATATATATATATATATATATATATATATATATATATATATATATATATATATATATATATATACACACATATATATAAATATAAATATACATACATATATATATATATATATATATATATATATATATATATATATATATATATATATATATATATATATAATGTGTGTGTGTGTGTGTAATCAGAAATTACAGTGAGTGTCTCGAAGCTTCGCCAGGCGCCGTGGCGGGTGTGGGAGCGAGGAAACGACGCCCGTATCGGGGCGCCGGCCAGGGAAGCCAGGAGGGCGTGTACTGATAACACTCTCCGTGCTCCCCAAGTGTGTTTGCGCTACATAATTATCGCTGCTCTAGACCTGCGCCCAGCGCCCTCTTTTGGGGCCAACAGGTGTCGCGGAGGAGGCCTGCGGGCGCTTGAGAATTGGTGTAGTTTTACGGTCTTTCGCAATGGAAGAAATGAAGCATTATTGGGCTCTGGCAACACTTAGTTCTGAGAAGGTAAAGGTTTACTATTGCAGTTTGATGTATTATTTTTTTCACCGTTTATGTGCGCAGTCTATGAAAATGTGTCGGGGAGAGTAAGTGAGAGGAGCCAGGGAATATGGGGGAAAAGTATGAGCACCGAGAGAGATAAATGCTCAGGGTGCAGGCAGGTGTGGCAGTGTGAGATAGTCCAGTATCTAGAGTGCGGGTGTAGAGTGATGTGGTGCGTGAGGCAGCGTGCCACGGCGAAGGAGGGAGCGATTGATGGCACCGTGTTCATGCTCAATGAAAGGCTCAGACACTTAGAGTCACTGCCAGGGCAGAGTGGAGACGTGTCGAGTGCCGGAACTGACGAGAGTGCCTGTCTCCTCTTGTCTTTCGGATATCAGGGTGCCAGGCATGGGAGAGCCACTGACGTTGTGGCACACGCCAGAGGCAGCGGTGTGGGTGGCGGGACACTTGAGACCGTGTCAAGTACATCGTTTTCTTGATACGCTCCTTAGCCATGCATCGTGGATATTTCCTCCGGCCGGAGCACGGTCTGCGTCAACAGGCGGAAGAAAACGGTTGACATATGGCGGGAATTCGACTCATGTTTCATACAGAAGATGCTGGTAGTGACATCATGCTGGGCACGAGATAAACACGTTCTGTGCGACAGGTGTGGTTAGCAGGTGGATGGGGGAGAGAGAGCGAGAGGGACCCAAGAGAGAGAGAGGGAGAAGAGGAGGCGAAGGAAATTTTTGTTCAGAAACATTTTGAGCAGTTGATATTTTTATCGCATTTAGTTGCTCTGATGTCGCAACTTCTTTCCTAATCACCAGTCGTGACTGCTGAAACATGCCTTAGTTCTCAGAATTATCTGCTACTATGTCAGCAAAAGTCCAGATAATTCATGATTGATTTGTTGATGTGTCCCGCGAAGGCCTCTGCGTGGACGGTGGTAGACAGGGGTGCCGCTTTGGTCCCACGCGGGCTTACTCAGCTCTACATATGTGCATGTGTGATCATGTGCACGTGTGTATAGACACAGTCCGATTATGCATAGATATATGCACGCACACACACACTCACACACACACTCACACGCGCGCACGCACACACACACACACACACACACACACACACACACACACACACACACACACACACACACACACACACACACACACACACACACACACACACATATACTGTACACACACACACACACACATATACTGTACACACACACACACACACACATATACTGTACACACACACACACACACACACACACACACACACACACACACACACACACACACACACACACACACACACACACACACACACACACACACACACTGTACACACACACACACACTGTACACACACACACACACACACTGTACACACACACACACACACTGCACACACACACACACACACACACACTGTACACACACACACACACACACACACACACACACACACACACACACACACACACACACACACACACACACACACACACACACACACACACACACTGTACACACACACACACACACACTGTACACACACACACACACACACTGTACACACACACACACACACACACTGCACACACACACACACACTGTACACACACACACACACACACACTGTACACACACACACACACACACACACACACACACACACACACACACACACACACACACACACACACACACACACACACACACACACTGTACACACAGTTATGAATAATGTTATCAGAATAATGAGAAGAATAACTTTGTTTTATTTGAAATGAAAAATAGTTTTACTTCAGTGATGCTTACTTTTCTCAGGAAATGTTCATTGATAGATAAAGAAATGGAACTTTTTTTTTTACCTCTAGCCTTTACTTTGATTTAGCATAGTGTACTAAAGGGAAATGAAATAGGTAGAAGAACCATTTGAGTGACCAAAGTGGAGAAATAAGGCAATGGGAATTCACCCAACACGATTACTCCGCCAACGGAGTTTACCGCCTCCCACTGTGCTTATGCAGCGAGATGTTAAGGAAACTGTGAAGTGTTTGGAGGGGCGGAGACTGGGCGCTTGGGGCAAACATGGAGATCTCTTCAGCTGGAGGGATTGGAAGGACTCGGTTTGGGTGAGGAATGATGACACAAGTCACGTTGGTTCCTGCGAAGAGCCACACGCGTATGATTTGGTTATGGTGATGGCTTATGTTGTGTTGTGGTTCCTGATGGTGATGCTGGTGCTGTCTGTGGGATGTCTCACTCTGGTATCAGGTATACAGTACAACATAGTATCTTCAGATTTAAGCTGTGACAATTAGCAAAGATTAACAGTGATTGATATGCTATTAATGTCATCTAGGAAAACTTTCCTTTAATACGATATATGCAGTATTGTATATTTCATAGTTTTTGATATTTCACAGGTAATAAGTAATAAACAACATTGATGGAAGTACAAATTGATTGTAGTTTTCCTTGTAGCATAACCAGAATTTATTGATTGTATAAAGGCTTTACTAATCCTTCCCTTCTCTCTCCTTACAGCCACTGTATTCCTGTCAACACTTACACCAAAGTTCTATGTGGCCCTTACAGGAACCTCATCTCTTATCTCAGGCTTAATACTAGTAAGTTCAGAGGCAAAGTAATATGTTATGTTATAGAACTGTTAATGTTGGTTCTGTGTTTTAATACTAACCCTTTTGTCTTGTTTTTTCTGTTGTTGTTGTTATTAGTAAGGGATGAATTTGTAATGAGTCTGATGTTGTAATCATTCCTTTCATAGATATTTGAGTGGTGGTACTTTCGAAAATATGGAACCTCGTTCATTGAGCAGGTGTCCCTCAACCACCTCAGTCCGTGGATTGGGGGAGGGGAGAACACCACCACAGAAAACACCAATACCAATCCCAACAATAACAATAATCAACAAAGTGTTCCAGGTAAGGGAATGTTTTTTTTGATGTTGTTGTCTGTAAAAACTTGGTGAAGTTCTTTATTATGCAACAGAAGTTTGTTTATACATTCATAATAATTCTTGGAGCAACAAAATCCCTTCATATATTATTTTTCCTTGATTAGACAATCTATTTTGTGTGAGAAATGGAAACAAAAATGGAATTATACTGTATTTTTCTGTATTTGTGAAACCTTCCAATTTTTTAGAGTGTAAAGTGTGGCGGAATCCGCTGAATCTCTTCCGAGGTTCTGAGTACCAGCGACTAACATGGTCAACCAAGAAGGAACCCCTGACATACTATGACATGAATTTATCTGCACAAGACCACCAGACATTCTTCACTTGTGAGGCAGATGCAGGGAAGCCAGAATATGAAAGTAAGTCATTACCGTAGTCCGTATTGTTAACTTATGTTTTGAGATTGATGGGCAAGCATTTTGGTGTACAATTAATATTTTTGTAATTATGCTTATGAGCACCAACAGCATGATATACTTATTACCATCTGATAAGAGGATTGAATTATTCTTGTAATGTTTTGTCTTTGATATGAGGATTGTGATTACTAATATTTAATTAATTTGATGTATTGCTGTATATTGCTATGTATGCATAGAGAATTTTTTTTAAATTACACGGTGTACTCAGAAAATGTGTCAGCACAAAGCATTAAGATATGACTTAATATATAGTAAGGTTATATCAACATATAATCAAGACACTGAGTTATACAAAACATTTACAAAGAGTAATCTTATGTTAGGTACTTGCATGAAGCTGTTTTGGTTAGATTGTGGAAATAACTTGTTTCTATTCACAAAAAGTACAAGTGTTCATAAGTACCAAACTAGCATCATGTGACCACACTGATAGCTGTGGGAATGTTGGGAGCCTGTAATTTTGCCAACACAATCATTTTAATCACCAAGGTGCAATGGGTTAGCCAAAATTTGTTTTACGGAGACTGTTTCTGCCTACTGCTACTTTCATACATAAACAATTTTTTTTATATATATATTTTTATATATATAAAACCGTTATGTGGTATTTATTTATTTTTTGAAACATTTTATGTTTTATTAATTTTATGTATACACTTTAACGTATAATTAGGCCAAGTTTGCACAGTATCAGGTCGGAAATACTTATATATGGCTTTCTCTAAACAGTAATGCAGACAGCCTGGAGAGAAAGAAACCCAGAGGTGCGCATCAAGTCAGCACATTCCGCCTTAGAGCTAAACCCAGAGTGTGCCTCAGCATACATTCTCTTAGCTGAGGAGGAATGCAACTCCATTGTGGAGGTGGAAAAAATGCTTAAAACAGCATTGAAATATGCTGAAGTTAATTATAGAAAGTCACAAACTACCCAGCATCAAAGTCCAGTTATGGAAGCTTTGCACAGTAAGTTCAGTACGTTTTTCATTTCTTTTAGTCACTTACCAGTTCTGTGGATATTTTATGTCATTGAGGAAAAAAGTTAGCTCTGTATATAGTCTTTGCTTCATGCTACTTTTGCTGATTGTTACTTGTTGCTGTGAATGTAATTTTATTGGCATTTAATTGGGGGGGGAGCTATGCATTAGATTAAGATTTACTAATGCAACTTTTTTATCCTTATTTACGTACCATATAGTACTTCTTATTTCTATTAAAAGTAGTGTAAGTAATAGATAACTTGTTTATTATTGTTTGAGAGAGGATAATTGAGAGGGAGATATAACACAAAATGTCCCACAGAAAAGTAAAATAATTATACTTGAAACATTTGATTACCATATTTTTATAAAGATTTTTTAAGGATATATGAGGTCTCCTGTAAGATGGACACTTAAAGGTCAAAATGCTATTCTTTCTTCTTGGTTGTGAGCTCAATGTGATTTTCTTTTTTCCTCTTGTTCTGTTTTACAGGGCGGGACAGAAATGTATTTATTTACATAAAAAGACGACTTGCCATGTGTGCAAGAAAACTTGGCAAGATGAAGGAAGCAATAAAGATGTTCAGGGATGTAAGTGTTGCCGGTTATTTATGTTTTTTTTCTGGTAAACTTGGCAAACTCACCAAGGAGATGGTCTTAATTGTGTTGCTAAATATTTGATAGGGGATGACCCAGCTATGCTTTTTTTATGAGCATTTATGTCTACCTGTGTGTGAATATACCACTTGTTTAATACCATATGTGCCAGGGTGTGTTAATGTTTCAGTTATATTTTTTGTGTTCAGTTATATTTTTTGCATTTGTGTTCCATGCATGAATGTTCCACTTGTATAGTCATTCACACACTAAAGTAACTTATTTTTCTTTCAGCTAACAAAGGAAGTGCCTCCAATTATGAATGTCTTAAACCTACATGAAAATTTGTTAGAGGCATTACTGGAGGTTGGTGCATATGCTGATGCACAAGCTGTTCTTGCAAAATATGATGACATTGCTCTCCCAAAGTCTGCAACTATATGTTATACAGCAGCACTGCTAAAAGCAAGAGCAGTAGCAGATAAGTTAGTATTGATGTGTGTTTGAGTAAAGAGTAAAGTATGTCTGTATTATTTTATTCTTTTTCTTCCTTCCCCTCCAGCCCTATATCCTTCCATTTCCTTATTCTTTTCTTTGTTTCTCTTTTTTGCCTTTCCACTGATCATATATATTAGCTTCTGTATAGTGTTTATAGTAATGGATATTTTTGGATTTTAGTGTTGTGGAAGAGGAACTTACAAAGTCCATTATTCTAGATTTTCTCCAGATATAGCAAGTAAACGTGGTCTCACAGCAGCAGAAATGGCAGCTGTAGAAGCGATTCACCGCGCTGTAGAATTCAACCCACATGTACCAAAGGTAATTCACATTTTCCATTACTGTTACCTCTTATCACAACAAAATTAGGAGAGACAGAGTTAGAGAGTATGTGTGAGAGCCTTTGGAAACTTGAGCATATACATGTTGTTTATAATTTTGCTCCTTTCAGTACTTGCTGGAGATGAAGCCCCTTATCCTTCCTCCTGAGCATATTCTGAAAAGAGGAGATTCTGAAGCCATTGCGTATGCCTTCTTCCACCTCCCACATTGGAAGAGAGTAAGTAGCTCTTGTGAACTGGCATGGCATTCCATAGTGCATATTTCATAGAGGTATTTATTTATAATTCAGAGTATTAACAGATTGATTGAACTTTGTCACTATTAGTATTTTGATTGTTAATTATCACTGTGAATCTATTGGACGGGAATTTAATTTTCAAATATTTCTTAAAGGTTGAAGGAGCACTGAACCTCCTGCATTGCACATGGGAAGGAACATTCCGCATTATTCCCTATCCTTTGGAGAAAGGGCACTTGTTTTACCCTTACCCAACTTGCACTGAATGTGCAGACCGGGAGCTTCTGCCATGTAAGTATTATCTCCAGGAAATTGCCGTATTTCAGCAACTCCCAAACATTTTTGAATTTATACACACCTCTGCCACCACCATTTTTTTCTACCATTTCTTTATAGCTGCATGCATTGCATTTTCATTGAATTTATAAAGCTGACAGATTTACTAACATTAACTGTATATCACTTATATATTTTTATATTATAACAGTACTTGTCACAAAATAATGTCACTGTATGATATCTTTTGAGTTTTTTTTCACATATACCTCCTGAGGTGTATGCACCACATTTTGGGAGTAGCTGCACTAATTTAGAAATTGTATGCTGTTTACTTAGACCATAATTATAAAAGATTTATGTTGTTGTTAAGATGCATTATTGATTCATATGGCATTCTTTCTCAATAAAAAGTGTACCAGAATATCTTACATTTTCAAAAAATGATATTGCAAAATGTTATTGTTGGTAGGCAGATAACAGTTGAAGATGGCCAGTCAATTAGAAGTAAGAATAGCTTGCTTGGACCAGGATGCATAGCTGTGAGGTATGCATACGGGTCCCTGCATGCCAAAGTGCTGTGTTTGATTTTCTTGATAGTTGCAGTTTACAAAAATCCATGCAATTTATCATTTCTTTTTTCTTCTTCTTCTTCTTCTTCTTTGCTGTAGGTTAATTTATTTTATGTTTTTTTTTTCTTGTTACCTGCAGCTTTCCATGAGGTATCTGTCTACCCAAAAAAGGAGTTGCCATTCTTCATTGTATTCACTGCAGGGCTTTGCTCCTTTACTGCATTATTGGCTCTCTTAACTCACCAGTATCCTGAGCCCATGGGTGCCCTGGCCAAGACAGTAGGTTTTACTTGTGCTTACTTTGATTTCATTCCGATATTACTGAAATAGTGAGACATTTGAAATTCCCATCTTTTTTTAAGGTTCTCAACTGATTTTTGTCCTTGTAGCTTTTGAGCTGGTGGTATGTCCCGATCCAGTATGTTCTGGAGAAGCTGGAAGCTGTTCTGCCATCAAACCTTCTTCATCATCTATCTCGAATTTGACCACCATACAATAGGTACTGTTAATTGCCTTTCTATTACATAATTATTGCAAACATATTAGAATTATGATCCTTACTTCATAATTTATTGATTTTAGGTAAATGTGATAAGATTATGAAATGCATAATATTATAGGATATAGATTGACTTTTCCTCATTTTCATTTACAGATTGAAAATTGTGGCCAGGGACTCAAGCTTGCAACATCACATATTTTTCCCACATATAATAGAGTCTGAATCACTTCAGTATTTTTATGGAATATGATTTAATTTATTGATGATACAGGAGATCAATGACCTAAGTGAGAAACAAAAGATTATGGCATTCATCTTCATTAGATTTGTATCATGGGCTCACTAAGCTTATTTTTGCACAATATGTATGTGATTTATGATGTAGAGCCACAAATAGTACTTAAATAAACTTTATTTTAAAGATAAATTATCTGGTAGAAACTAAAGCGGCAAATTATTGGAGATGCATAGAACTTTGCACAAAACAATCATTAGAAAATCACTTGTCAAAATACATACTGATGAGAAAGTTGTTAGTTTCAAAGAAGATGCAGCTAGAGTTCTTTTTTTCTTTTCTTTTCCCTCACATTTTCTTTGGGAGTTATTGAACTTCTCTGAAGCATAGGAGTTTATTCTTTTATCACTGATATAAATTCTTGTACACAAAAGGAAATTGGTAGAAGAATGCAGCTGTGGTTTACATTTTTTTTCCTGTAGATGTAGATATTACAATTGTAGAAATTTGTTCTGGATTATTCAAGCAGTGGAATCACACAAATTTCAAATGATGCATTAGAACGTAGCTTTCACTTTTCATTTTTCTTCTTTCTTGCTAATACATCAGAAAATTTCCTGATATGTATAATGCATACTTTTTGTTTGTTTTTAAATGCAGTTTTAACACAAAAGTAATGTGTATAATGAGAATAAGGGAGTGTTTTTCAGAACAGTCTGTAATTTTAGTAACCACATTCATCTATTAAAGTTCATTACTGAATATCAAAGCAAATCATATGGGACATTTTTATTGGTTTATTATTTTTAATCAAACTTCAGGTAAAAGAAGGCTCCCCAATATGTGATCAGAATGTAGTCTTTTTTCCACCCCTCTTCTCTTCCCTTGTTTTCTCAGTTTATTAATCAGATTAAATATCCACTTTTTTTTGGAAGAATACGCACTAAGCTTTCTCATCAACCTCTGAAATAGGATCTTCAGAGGTCAAGGAAATTATTGAAGTGCAAGAAGTAACAACTGTACATCAGGGTATTTCAAGCCTTTCATTCAGTAAAGCAAAGGGATGCAATACATTATGCACATGTGACTAGGGAGTCAACAGAAAGGAAAAAATAGGCTGCAGGTTCCATACAGGAGTCTTGTATCATGATTTCACTCTGCTGAACCAACTTCTTATTGTGATTGATATATACATATACACATGGAATGATGGGTAAGATACATAATCTTTCAAAAATCAAATTGGATAGATAAATTTCAAAACTTTTAAGAGACATCTCACAGTGTTTTCTTGATTGCCAGTTATTCCAAGAAAAAACTTTTGTGGTTTCAGACTTTGCTATAACATAAGAAGGCTATCAGAATAAGCATTGATAATGACTGGCTTGTAATATATATTTATCTGTTCAGCAACATTTTTCTCTCTTTTTTTCCAAGGTTTCTTTCTCCCATTCCCCACCTGCCCCCAATATTTACTTTGTGGAAGTAGCTTTTCAAAGGTTGTACTTGTTCCATTTCATTGCTCAAATTGCATTTGTTGATATTTGAAATACTAGGACAATAGGACTAGTTTTGTCATCCTGTGTATGATGTCAACTTTCCTTAACGTGGAAAACTAAAAAGAAAAAGGAAAAAAAGAGCAGATTTCATTTGTGTGCATCAGAACTTCCAAATCAGTCTTATGTTTTTTGATCAAGACCTCTGAAATACAGCCATAACAGTACATTTATTATCCAACTTATGATTTTGAAAGTTGCTTGAAAAGACTATACACTGCTGCATATATACAGGATCTGAATTTTTTCAGGCGGATGTTTATTGTACACTATCATGACAAATTATGACTTTACTTTTGCATTACATGGAGTTTTATTTTGAAAACCTTTTCAACAAATGTATGTGAACTGAACTTTACAAGGTAATGAAAAACGAAAGGATTTCAGATTAGTGAACTCTTAATAGTTCTCCCAGTCAAACTTCATATGACAACCTTTTTTCTCTCTCATGAAAGGCCTTGTCAGATTTCCTTTCATTACCACTACTTTAGCTAATGCTTTCTATTTAACACATTGATATCTGGAGTGCATGTACAAGATACATACACACATATATATATATAGATATAGATATGTGTGCATGTATTTACACACACATACATACACATTTTATTGTGGTGCCTGTCTTGTGACGTTAGTGATCATGAATCTTCATTCCCTTCTGTCATCAGCTAATCTAACTAAATCAACCAGTTTGTACATTCCACCCACTCCATCAGCTAAACCATGTATTTCATCCTTTGTTTTCCTCAGTTTTCAAACTATTCTTCTATTCTTCCAAGTAAGCATTCTCTTTCTTAATATATGTCCAAGATATTGTAATTATCTCTTCTCAATATTTCCCATTAATTCTCTTTTCTTCCCAGCTTTTCTCTGCACCTCTTTATTTGTAACTTTATCTGTCCATGGTATCCTTAGCATTCTTAAAAAAAACACATTTCTGTTGCCTCTATTTTATTTCTCAAACCTTTCCTGATCATCCATGTCTCACATCCATATGACAATTTTGACCTCACAAAACACTTCAAATCCTTATTCTAATCTTCATACTCATGCTCAAATTTTTCAAGATATTGTCTATACTACCAAATGCTTTCTTTGCCAAACCAATCCTTTTTATAATCTCTATCACTCTTCCCTGGATCATGAATGGTACTTCCCAGATATAAATAGATTTTCAACCTGCTTTACTTCCTTATCGCCCACTTTAATCTTCATGTTCACTTTCTCTTTACTCTTTGTTATTGTCATTGTATTGGTCTTACCTACATTTATTCTCACTCCTTTACTTTCACCTTCTTCCTTCAGCTCACCAATGCTTGTAATTTCTCCTCTGAGTCTGCTATCAGTACTGTATCATCTGCATATCTGATGTTGTTCACGTTCTTTCCACCAACTGAAATACCTTCTAGCCCTTCTATGTATCATATATATATATATATTTATATATATATATATATATATATATAAATATATATATATAATATATATATATATATATATATATATATATATATATATATATATATATATATATATACATATATATACATATACACATAAAATATATACATATACATACATTGTATATAAACATACATTATATACATGCAAACAATATATATATATATATATATATATATATATATATATATATATATATGCCAGCCAGGTAACTTTATTTGTTAGCATATAACTCCAGTAGTCACAATCTTGTTTCCCATTCATTTTTTCAATTTTTTTTTTTTTTTTTTTTTTTTTTTTTTTTTTTTTTTTTTTTTTTATCTTATCTTTTCTCAATTGTGCCACATGTCTGCCGTTGTTCTTTCAGAGCAACAGGTACTCCAACTTGAGGCTTTGCTCAAGTTGTTTTTTGCGAGAAAAAAAAAAAAACGTGAAGCCATTTCTCTCAGCCACTATTTATGAGAGGACCTTTACAGCCTGTCCTAAAATGAAATTTTTGAGATAAAAAATATAAATTTACATTTTTCAAGTTGACATTTGATAAAGTTTGCAGGATAAATTCAGCTATTCAGCTGAATGTCACATTGTGCCACAATTGTGGATATACAAATTGCACTCAGCACTTCTCCCTTCAGTACACCAGTTTTATGGATATGCCAAGCTTTTATGTCAAGTATCCTAATCAGAGTATAAGGTATATCTGTATATATATATATTTCTTGTTGCAAAACTACAGGTTGTTTGATGAACACAAAATAATACCTGAAAATGCCTTTTTTGCCATTTTGTCTGTGGTGTAGAATTTAATGTTCTAATATAATATTCTAATTACCTTATTTTCTAAAATCTGCAACTTTTATATGTAATTTGTTATAATTGAGCATAATTTTAACAGAAGCATAATAATATCAGATACAGAAAAGCTAAAGACAGAAAATTACTCAGTTGGAAGGTGATATCCAGCATTATTTTGCCAAATAACAAATCAGATTAAAACATAAGCTTCAGATGTTTAAATGTTCAGCTCTGAACAAATTTTAATATTGAAATCTTAATGCTTTTTAGAAATAAGGTAAAAATCCAAGATCAACATTTGACTTAACCCAATGTTGCTGGAGAAGGCATGCATGGCGCATGCCATGCCAACACTTATTTTAGTTTGATAATTGTATTTATGGCTCAACAAGTGCTTAGTCACCTATGAGTCACTCATTAGTTCAACCTATCCCACCTGTTTATGCCTTTCTTTGATTTTTGGAAATATTTTATTTTATATTGTAATTAGTATTCTTAATAACACTAATTATTATATCAATAATAATAACAGCATCAATATGAATAGCATAAAAAAAACTTGTTTCACAAAACAATACCAGAGTGAACATCACATATTCTTGGTGGCATTGGGTTAATAATAAACTGAAATTGGAGAAATCTTCACTGAATCATTAAAAAGATAATGGTAATAACATGGAAAAGTATCAACCTTAAATATTTTATTTGTTGAAAAATTTCTGCAGCATAACACGGTCATTAATGGCAAAGGCAAAATATAGCAATAGGCTTGAGGGTAAAGCCCCCATGTAAGATTTTTTTTTCTTAAGGTTATATTTGTGGATTTCCAGAAGGGTTAATGGTCAAAACAAATAAATATGCAAGATATCAAAGGTCAAATATAATAAAGTACTGTGGTGAAAAGGAAATAAGGAGTTAATGACTAGGATTAGTGGACAGAAGGGGATGAAGAAGAGAAGGAGAAGGAAAGGGGGTAAAGAAAGACCATGCAGACTTTCCTGAGGCAAGGGCTGAGGTCCAAGGTAGGGCCTCATTCTCTTTCCTAATTCCACTACATCATCAACAAGCAAAGAAATCAAAGGTCATATGGCACCAAGGTAAAGTAGAGTAGCGAAAAGGGTTAGGAATGAGTTCATGATGAGGCTAAAGTTACAAGTTGAACAGTATTAGAGGGTAGTATGGTAGTGGAAAGGGTAGAGAGGGGGAGCTTATGGGGTATAGTTTAAGGTAAAGGTTAGGGGATTAGGGAGCATTATGATAAAGTATTGTGGCAAAAACGGCAAAAATTACTTAAACGATAAGGAAAAGGAAAGGAGGAGAATGAGTACTAAATATAAGCCATAATTACAATAACTATTACTATAAATTTCTTACTGTAACTCTAGTCACTTCCAAAGCAGAAGGAATCCGGTAAAATCTAAATGAACATTTTTGCCTCTCTTAACCTACTAATTCTGGGATGACTTCTTTTCATCATGATAGACCTCTCTGAGGGTGGGATGCCATCTTTGTGTCATATGCAATTGAGCATGCTAAACAGCTGTGCATTTGTTTAGCCACTGACAAATGCATAGAGGTCAGTTAATATTGTTATGTTTCCTGTGTTTTCTGATTTTTTTCCTTGACTAAGCACTTGGGGAGCCTTCCATGTGTAAACAATTAAACTAAACTCACAGTGGGTAGGTCATGTACATACATGCTATCCCAAGCAGCAGTGGGTTAAGTAAATTTTAAAACATATAAATTATGGGTAAATATAGTCAAAAAATTAAATATAGATTAATTTTTATTTTAAGAAATACATATCAAATATGACACCTACATTCTACATGGCATAACTACACACAAATTTAGCTTGTTATTGATATAAAATGCAATGTTCCATATATAATTTACTAAACTATAAACACTGCAGTAGCATAAACAAGAAAAAAAAAATCCTGCACAAAGAATACAAAGTGATTTCTCCCCTCCAAAAACATGCACTTCCTAAAGACAAATTTCTGCAAAGCACCAAAGAGTAAAATTAACTTCAAATGTAATAATTGATAGTCTATGCTTCCTTTTCTTCCCATCAGAATGGGAGGTAGTGGAATTACTCCGCAATCTGCATAGCGTTTGTCTTTCATGAAGTGACACTGCCATTTTCTATGATAGTATCAAGCATATACAACCACTGCCATTTCTACAAATAAATTTCTCAAACTTGTCATTGCAAGGTATGATATAAAAACTATACTCCCTGCATCTATTCCCTGGGACAATTTATACAGTATCAAAATGGTCTTGTTAGTAAACACTATCAGCAAAGGTATACATTTACTTTGCAATAATAACAATGATCAATATTTTTCTTTTAGAGATTTCACATCTAGATCGTATTAAGCATTTTGAAAGCAGATCGTAGTGTTTATTTTCAAAACCTCCACATACCAGTGTTTTCTACACAAGTGTTTTTAAAAAGTATATGAAGTAATTTTTCACAGGTCATTATATTCACAGAATATGTGGCCTGCAATCTTTGAAGGTAAGTAAAATAATAAAAAAATATATAATCACAAAACTGATGTTATAAAAAAAAAAATTTTTTAAAAATCACTGTTCTTTTCCCTATCAATAACCCTGTATAAGTACAGTAGCATTGAATATCACTGGGCACACTATCACAGGGGAAGTTCAACCACTCCAGAATCAATCTAGTGATCATCAAACAGCATCAGCCTCTGTTAGCTCATCTTGATTCACTCACAATATTCTTTTTCCCTTTGGGGCTGGAAAGCATTATAAGTGGCACTCGTCTAGGCGTCTTGGTCACACCAGTGGGAGTTTTTGCAGGCGAGGGATCTTTTGGTCCTTTTGTAGGACTCTGATCATCACCCTCAAACTTCTTCCTGGTTTCTTCATCAACCTCCATTGCTTCTCCCTGTCAATGTATCCAATAAATTATGATGCACTTATCTCAACTCCTTACATTTTGCTACCAAAAAAACAAAAATTCTGTGAAATCATACTTAAGGTGTCCAGATTATAATATATAAATCAAAACACTCAAATATATGTCCTGTTACATTTAAATATGTAAAACAAAATAACATAATAAATGCAGCACCTATCTTGTACTTGTGCACAGCATAATATAAAATGTATTCCCATGGAATACTATGTGAAACTGTTAACCCACTGATCCAGCATACACAATGGTTGTCATAAAAATATTTGGCTGAGGGCCTGGTTAGAGGAATACACCGTCATGTAAAAACTAGGCCACGGGATGGGATGGCAGGAATGTTCAATTATGAAGAATATGGCTAAAGGCTGGGGTGATGGGAAGGTCTCTCCATGAGTGCCCAAAGCTATTTGAGGAAGATTAGAAAGTGGGCATTTAGAGAGGGGCCCTTTCATTATTTCTACCAGGAAATTAATGTGGAATGTAACATCTGTGAGCTGTGCCTGGAAGAGTACTAACTCTATGCTCAGGATTCTATTCATGCCTGCTATGACCAGCAATATAGGGTTATAGAATATTGAATAATATAAAAATATTCAGAAATTACACAAATAACAAAATACTATTTACTGTTATTACACAATTATAGACTACCTAGAGAGCTGACATGGAGTCTGTTCAAGGAAGACAGTCTATTGTCCGACTGATGCAGCATATCAAATGACAAATATAGACCTATAAACCATGGATTGCTACCACTCAAGTAAGCCTAATGGGCCATGTGAGGGCAGTGAGGCACCTAAAGCCAGCTCCATATTAGGGGGTGGGAGGGCTTAGGAGGAGACGACACCCAATGTAGGGGATCACCCTTACCTGGGATTTCAGCCCTTGCCTTAACTAATTTTGCATGGTCTTTTCTTTTCTCCCTTTCCTTTTCTTTATCTTCTTTATCCTCCTCTTCTGTGCATTAATCCTCATAGTTAACTTTTACCCTTTTTCCCACAATACTTTATGATAATGCTATATGCCCTTTAACCCCTTGGTGCCGGGTGACGCCAATCGGCGTGTAAACAAAGCGCTCGAAAGCTGGCGTGCAGCCAAACGAGCCGGCAGCGCGCCAAAGCGCGGCGAGCCAGTGATTCTGGCTGATGTCCCCTACTCACACGCTCAAAGTCGGCGCGCCACCTTTGTTTGCTTAGAGTTTTTTTTTTGCTTTGTACACCCAGCGCCATTGGGTTAATGTCTAGCACATTTATTTGTTTAATCATTAAATATTAACAACTACAAAACTTAACAGTATAAACAATAAAGATAATTATTATTAACAATAATAATAATGATTAAGGGTTAAAACAAATAAATGAGTTAGACAAAACAGTAAAATATTGTGGCAGACTAAAATGAGTTAATGATTAGGACAAAATGTGCTTGATGTCAATGGTTGTAGAACTACTGAATAGTAGTAGTGAAAATGGTAAAATGGGTGTCAGAGAACTAGGAGAAGAATCCGGGGAATGAGACGAGGGAACAGGGGGAGGAAGGGAAGTATCGGGAAGGACAACAGGAGGAGGAGGATCTGGAGAAGAACACTATTGTGACTGAAGGGAGTCACATGAGCATCCAGGTGGGAGCGGCAAAAATAATTGGGGGAAAAAAGAAAAATTAGTGTACATGGTGCAGAAGGGGAGGATGGGGGGTGTTGGAAGAGCAAGGAGGAAAAGGGTAGGGGGAACCTGAGGATGATGATGATGGATATCTGCAATTACTTTGAATGTAGAGGGAATGAGAGTAGAGATGGAGGGTGGACACTTGGGTCATGTTTAGGAAGTTTTGGATGTCCTCAAAGATTTTCTGGAGTTGAATTGATAGGTTAGAAATTATTTTTTTTTATGAGAAGAGGAGACAGATGTCCATGAAGCAGAGGAAGAGGTGGATGTAGGAGAGGTTGTGGTAGGAGAAGACGGGGTGGAACATTTACATTGTCTTGCGTGACTGGTAAAGTGAGTAGGATGAGGGGCAGGCATTGGGGAAGTGGCAGAGATTGGAGTATTTAGATTTTGACTGGAAAAAGAATGTGACTATGGGCGAGAGGGAATAGAGGTAGGAGGGTAAGGGGTAGGGGAAAAAGATCTCGTACACACATGTACATGCACATGCACACCCACACTCTCACACACAAATTTCTGTCCAGATTGTTTTCTGAATGGAAAATAAGACTACAGCTATGAATTCTTCCTGGATTTATAGTTTGTTCATTAATTCCCTCTTTAAATGTGTAGGAGGTATATACACTTCTCCCTCTCTGTGTCATGTGAGCTTTCTAACCTCTGTCTTTGATACACTGATCTACAATATGTTTTGCTCTAAACTATGAAGGGACACACCTAAAATGTCCAATAAAGTCATCAGTGGGCTACAATATGCCAGCTATCCTTCTCAAAAACTGTAAACCAACTCAGCCTGTCTCCATTGTCGTCACCTGCCTTCCAGTACCACATTTTCTCCTCTCTATTATATAATATTCATTCCATTTTATCAATAGTGTAATATTCTGCAATTCACTTTAATATATAAAGGTCTATGGACTTTAACAGATCCTACAAATATCCCTCTTCTTATTCACATTTACATGTAAATAAGATGAAATGAGCATATTTGCCAAAAGACTTTTGACACAATTTTCTTTAAGCTTATTGAGATTATGCATTCTATCCACAATGGCTGTACAGGTGATAATTGGGAGTGACAAACTACACTCATTCTTGGTAGCTACAACAAAAAATCGCAAACTCAAATTGTAATAATGTTAATAATAATGATAATAACTTATTTTTTCTATACCTGGGTGTGTCCATTCACTTGAGGTTGCGTAGTGTCTGCTTTGACGGCTGGTGTGTTTTCATCATTTTTATGGGTTGGACCAGAGAGGGTGATCAATGACACTCTCTTTCCACTCTTGCTGCTGTGTGAGGTCATCATCTTTTCAATATCATTCATAATAAAAAGAACAGAATGATCTTTCAACATTTAAACAAAGCATTCTAACAGTTAAAACATTTTGTAAAATCAAATTCATAAAACTGCCTACAGAAACTATAAAACATCTGGCCTGCAGCTGATTTTTTAAAAAATGTGTTCCAGACTGACTGCACTGTACAAGGTAAATGAAATGTTGACATTGCTAAGGCAAGACCTACTTAGATACGTGGAAATACGGCATAATGACAAAACTGAGAATTGTGGCTACATCCTAAAATGTGTTCAATACAAACTCAACACAAACCTTTTTACAGCAATGCTTTCAACTGGCTTCTTTGGAGGCTCAACAACTTCTGTCTCCATTTTTTCTGGTTCTTCACGTGGGGAGGATGCTCTTGAAGAAGGTTTAGCAGAAAGATTTGGACTCGTGCCAGCTTTCTTTACCTGAGTTTCAATAATCTTTCCTTTGTAGGGAATACCAATTTCCTCTTCCGTGAAAGAAACCAGAGAGCAGTAGCCGTCAGTCGATGACACCACAAGGATACGCCCATCAGAGGACCTAAAATAAAGGAACAAGTTAATACACTTCAAACCAATGATTATAAAGGAAAGGTTCTATATTGACAATGT